TTGTAGGGATGCGAGGTCAATGGTCTAACGACTACGGCATGCACGACTATGAGTACCCCCCCCCCTTGCTTTTTTTTTTCTCGGCGGTTGTGTGTTGGTACCGTTAATCGTGTTTCGTTTGCATCACGGCCGCCCCAAACCCACACTCAAAGCGATTGTTTGATGTGGCTTCCCCCTTTTGTGAGAAGGGTGGATCCTGAGGTTTTGGAGTCGTTCTCTTGTGTAGGACCCTCCATACTAGTACTCCGGAGCATGCACTTTCTTCGCTCGTTTTTTTTCTTCTTTTTTTTCGCTTTGGTTCTGACTCTTGTTGTTTTCCCTTTTTTTTTTTTTCAGGAGGGCGGTTGCTTCCACAGCCGGACCGCGGTGGGGATGTTTGATCACGTCAAGGAGGCGGTTGACAAGGGGGAGGTGCTTCTCGAGTGGGACTACTCCAAGGTGTTGATCACCGTATGCATACTGTAGTTGGCTCCATCTTTGTCCCCGTCTTTTTTTTTTTTATTATTTGTCTCGGCTGAGTTGCAGGTGGTCTCTCACTTGTTAGTAGTCTTCCTCTCTGGCTGACCAACTCTTCCCACCAACCACCCTTCCCCTCGATTGAGAAAACCTCCCGATGCTTCGTGCTTGGCGGCGCAAAAGCCTCCCTATTCTGCGATTCCCCGGTAGACGTGTTTCGACCCTGGCCGATTTGACGGTTGGGAGGAAGGCATTGATGGCGAATTGGCCTTTGATGTTAGTGCTGCAGCTGTTGTTGTTATACATAGCTCGTTTGTTGGTTCGAGTCGTTAGACGGCGCAGCGTGTAGCGCCGTCGTCTCCCACCGGGGGCTCTTGCGCTGTTTTCGGCTCGAGGTCCCCTCTTGTTTCAATCCGTTCTTCACCGTGTCGGCCTGGGCGACGACTGGTTCGAGAGGCCGCTCTGCTGATGGTAGATGAGATTTCCACCCAACTTACAAGAGACGTCATCAGGTGCTCAACGCGGCCACTCTCTTCCTGAGTTCGTTCGTTTGAAATCTGGGAGCGAGTGTATCATAATGGTCGTACACCACGTTTCCGCTCTGGCTCGGGGGATGTTGTTAACATTGTCGGCCGTCAACCCCCTCCCCATGTTGTTGTTGTTGTTGTTGTTGTTGTTGTTGTTATTGTTGTTATTGCAGGGGGAACCGCCAAAGCCTTTGGTGAAGGACGTCTTCGCGAGCGAGCGGAGACAGGCCAAGACGCTTAACTTCTCCATTGCCTACGGCAAGGTACCTCTGCAGAAATAGTGGCCCATGAGAAGCACAAGTGGCAGCAGCGGGTATGCAAGTGCAATGGCCTTCCGCTTGACACGAAAGGGCTTCTTTTTGAGCACACATACAATGTGTACGTCTTCACAACCCCCCTTTCCGTTCTGGAACAGCTTCCGCTACTGGCGGGTCGTCGTGGGATTTTTCGTACCTAGAGTGTGTCTTGCAAGGAGTCACGAGCAACATTCGCGTGCACATGGTGCATTCCACCGCGGTAGGTTTCTGTGTGAATGAAACCCAGACGAAGTGCATCCAGTTCGGACTGCGACGGGCACCAAAGGGCACCAGCAGCAAGTATGTTATTTTGATCTGTGTCACTGCACAAACCTGTCCGGTGTTGCCAATGCGTGACGTACTGAGATTCCCGCCCCGTACATGTTCATNACGCCCCCCCCCACCGCGAAATGGCTCCTTCTCGGCAGACGGCGCACGGGCTGTCTAAGGATTGGGGAGTAACGTTGAAAGAAGCGGAGGACCTCGTGAAGGTGCGTTGCGGACGGCCGCGGTAGCGCCTGTGACGTATGGGTTGTTGGTGCGCTCTTCGCCCCCCCCCCCCCCCCCCCGGAAAACAATGCTTTCTCCATGTAGCAAATATAATGTGTACCATGCCAGCGTGCAGGATATTGATAGGGTTTGGTGGTTGATGTCTACAGTACTGTAGTGACGTGCGTCGTATCCCCTTGCCCTCTCTCGCCGGTGCAACTTTTTGCTCTTCTGGCAGCGTGTTACGGAAGGCTTGACCCCCCCCCCCCCCCC